TTTTTTTATCACAGTTATATTATGATTTTTTAACTCATAATTTTGACTTTTGATAATTATGATTTAGTATGTAATTTCAATGTATCTATGTATAAATCTATCTAAATAATGACTTAGTATGTCATAACTTTTTTTTATCATAATTATAACTTTTTAAATCATGATGACGTTTTATCTCATAATTTATGACTGACATCATTGTCATTTAAATTCATCTCATAATTATAACTCATAAATATATCCCAGAATTGACATTTTATCTCAGAATTGTGATTTAGTATGACTTCGTTTGTCCTTTATCACAATTATGACTTTTTAACAAATCATTTTGACATTGACATTTCAGTTTATCTCATAATTATGATTTAGTATGTCAATTTAGACGTTTTAACTCGTGACTTAGAATGTCGTAATTTAGACCGTTTATCACAGTAATAATTATTAATAGTAATAATTATAATACAAAGTCTAAATTATGACATGCTAAGTCTTATGACTTCTGAGATCAATTTAAATGACATACTCATAATTGTGACTTTTTATCTCAGAATTATTACTTAGTATGTCATAATTTAGACTTTGTATTATAATTATTACTTTTAACTCTGGGTTTTATTTCATAATCATGACTTAGTATGTAATTTCAGTTTATCTCATAATTATGACTTTTTATCTCATAATTATGACTGTCTCAGAATTTACATTTGATCTCAGAATTATGACTTAGTTTGTCAATTTAGACTTTTTAATTCATGATTTAGTATGTCATAATTTAGACCTTTTATCTAGTAATTATGACTTTTTATCTCATAATTAGGATTGATATCATGTAAATGTATTTCGTAGCATTATAAGGTGAGAGCCGCAGTGCTTACTGGGTAATGGGCAGCCGAGCACCTCCAGCCTCATACACAGGCTGCCGTTCCAGCTCTGCGGGAGGATACGGATGTAACGCGCTACAACTGGATAAGAGAACTCTGTCATTACTGGAGTGTCTTTATCCACATTCCCATAAAAGAGCTGTAGAATAAAATAAAAACAACAACAGGATTTGACCAAAAACAAGTATTAAAACTAGTAAAAATCTCAAAATGTTTTATGTATGCATGATGCTTGATTATAATTGACAGTGGTGGCCAAAATTATTAGAACACTAGTATTTTCTCCAGCT